ATCATCGGATCATTACATTAATTCTTCCAAGTGTAGAGGCACATATCTATGAGGAAAGGAGATGATTTGCGTTGAAGTATAAAAAATGTTTTATTGCTTCAATAGTACAAAAGTTGATACATCCAAAAATGTAGAGACAACAGGAACTAGACATCTTTCTATACAAAATCCTAAATCATGAAGATGATCGTAAACTAGGCTTTATTGCTGACGCGTCTAAATGCTTTTCCAAGTCTGTATAACGTCTCCACATTTGATGCCATCCTCAATTGTTGGTTGAAGGTCCCAATCACCATGGGAGCCACCATTGATGAACTTCAAGACTATCAACAAATCAAGTGCAATAGTTGGTGAAGGGGTGGCTCCACCTCTTGTATGACACCTCGGTCTGGTATCCGGACTCTTTGAGCTTCTTTGCAAGTCTACAAAAGAAATAAATGAAGATATAAGATTTGTGACGCATATAGCCAAAGCTACTACATGCAAGACTGTAGAGTCAATTTCAAGAAGGAAAAAAAAACATTTGTAGGACAACTCAGAGAGCATAGAGCTGGAAAGCAAGCTCGATAGACGACGAGATCAACTTTGGAAAACTACTGCAGTCCATCCTGAAGATGTTATGCTTCTAACATTTTATATGTTGTAGATTTGGATGTCTAGTTTGCAAGAACACAAAACGCTTGCAATTTGGAGGCACCTAGCTCAAGATATGATTTTTTTGCCGGAACTACACGAATCTGAAAGTTACTGCAGCTAGGTGGACTTTGAGAATTTTCTGTTTCTATCTCGGAAGGAGTTCTGCCACGAAACTCATATGTATTGCATCTCTATGATTGCACTTTCAAACGCCACAAACGGATCGTAATTTGGAGTCTCCTAGCTCGAGATATGAAGTTTTCTACAAAAGTGCGCAAAGCTGGATTGCAAGTGCGGCAGATATCAGGAGCAATTTCAGAATGTTATTGCAGCTATTCTGAAGGGAATCCTGCTGCGAAATTTTCAGGTGTTACAGGCGACGAAGTTTTCTTTCCAATGGTGCAAACGGCTCGCGATTGGGACACTCCTAGCTCGAGATATCAACTTATCAACGAGAACGTACAGTGCTGTGAAGTAAAAACGGCAGACAAGAGCATCAGTTTCAAAATTTATTCTCGCTTGTCCTAATGGAATTTGGCCCTACATTTTGGAGATGTTGCAGTGTATGAATTTCTAATCCTGGGGAATCAAACGGATGACATTTGTAGCGCTCCGATCTCGAGATATGGATCTTTTGGTGAGATTGCATAGTGCTGCAAAGTCAAATTGCTGAGCATGTGTATCTATTTTGAAAAAGAAATATTGCGGCTAATCCTCAAGGAACTTGGCTGTGAATTTTTGATATGCTGCGTCCCTTCGAGTCCTGTTTCTTTAGGAATAAGCGGCTGGTGATTTGATCGCACCTACATCAAAGGATGAATATTTTTGTGGAGATTTGCCAAGTACTCGCTCGCCGAGGTTGAAAAGGACTGCTCCAAGTAGTGTCAATTTCGCCAAGCTGCAAGAATAAGATGCGCCACATGCTCGCTTGCAAAGAAGAATACGGTCGCTCCGCAAGGATGAGATGTGCCACGTGCTCGTTCGTCAAGGATGGAATACGGTCGCTACAAATTTCTCACCAAGCCTCAAGGAGGAAACGTTTCATCTAGCCTTCTATGAAAAATTTCAAGAATGGAGTGCTTCATCACTTCTTCAAGAAAATTGGAACTGGGAATTTACAATGTACGTCTTTGGCCACTATAATAAGAAGTCGGTCCCTGTGTTTACTTATCAAACAACAAGAAGATTATGTTCTCCATAAAGTTCTCTTGCCAAGGCTGCAAAAACAAAACAAAAAGACGATAGAGATGACAGAGCTCACGGTGCTAACTGCAGGAAGCTTCTTGGTTCTATAGAGATCGGTGCCAATTGTACGAAGCTTTCGATTCAGCAGCAAGTATATCGGTGCCAACGGCACGGCGCTTCAACTCTATCGCGATAGATAGAAGTACCGGCGAGCCGAAATTTCGGATTAGCATGACAGGTACGTCGCAATAGCATGAAGCCTCAAGTGTTATCTAGTGTTTAAGGTCAAACAATCCTCCCTGTACAGACTCAACATTCAGGAGTTTGAATATAACTGCCCAATCTTCCTGAAACAAAGACTGTGGAGTTATATACTTTAATTTTAAACTACAGAAGCTAGAAGTTGAGGAGTAGAGAGATCAGCTCGCCATGGAGAGTATTAAGTTACCTTATGGTAAGGTTTTGGCGCCATATTATAAAGTACTGGATTAAATTCTTGGTATCGTCAGTGCTCGAGACTTTGGCATCCTCGGCAACGTTCTGGTCCAGAAGCGATGTCTCTCATCCTCGTTTTCAATTCATAGGAAGTCACGTTGCAAAATAAGATAAACTAAAGAGAAGAAAGCTAAAAAAGAAAGGAATTACGGCTAACCTTACCTTCGTCTGAAGACCTCAGTGTCTTGGATGGCTAGTAAGTCTATCAAGATGGTATTTATAGAGGGGTTGAAGCAGCTTCTTTATTTTTGTAACAGGAATCCAATTACGAGTAGTTGTTTCCAAGCCAAATTCCAACTGTGAAGAAGTACAGCTAAACAAAAGTTTGCTAGCAAGATTTTAGGGCATTCATATTCCACGTGGATCCCTTGGATAATTTCAATACCAAGGATTGTATGCTGGACCAAAGAAAGTTAATGAATTAAATGAAATGGGCTCGTAACTAGATTGCTGGCAATACCATGTCAGTTGTACAAACTTGCACAACTGAGTCCTAAAATGTCTGGACAGGAAAACCGAGCAAGTGGAATACCAATTGAAAGTTTTTAAAAAAAATAAAAGGGCGAGGTTTTCCATTTTCCAATTTCAAGAGGAGAACGACTTCCTATAGTATTGATGGGCTCAAGTATGAAGTTATTGGGCTAGAATATCGCAAGGCGAATTCGAAATGCCAAATCAATTCGGTCCAAATACTATATGTTGTAAATTCACAAGGTTGTATTTCCAAAATGGGAAAGGGCTTACAATGAGTCAAGTTTGAGGTTCAGACAAAATAAAAGTTTGTCAATATTAGTACTTCAAGCCTCGCCATTAAAGTTTGATAAGTCTACAAACCGACGCAACTTGAAGTAGGGGGCATTTGTAGACGATTGAATTTTATTTGAGTTTAAGTCCATTAAATTATTTGGACCACATGATAAATTTAAAGACGTATCAGCCCAAACAATGATTACGGGCTAGAATAATTGAATTTATTATTTAAATCCAATATGCGTATATGGATTTAATTAAGAGCCCGAGTTAATTGGGCTAGTTCATCTCATCGGACTTCAAATGATAAGCCCAAAATCCATGCCACATGTCAAATGACATGGCGCGCCAAGTCAAATCAAGGACCACTAAAATCATGCCACGTGCATAAGTGATGTAGCATGCCAAGTCAAATGTAAGGACCAATCAAATGTCGCCAAATATCCAAATGACATGGTTCAACCAATTATATGCAAGCTTATCACATAGCTTTAGTGATAGGTTTGATGACTCAAGTTGGCCAATCAAACTGGAGGAAAAAGATATGTGTTTATCACAAGTTCCCTCCCCTACAACTATAAATAGGTGTCTCCATAAGGCCAAAAGGACAGGAAAAAAGATACATATTGAAGCTCTCCTCCACAGTAGTAATTCGCAAGTCTTCCGCATAGCAAGAAGTAGTCGTCTCCAAGGGGTGAGCCGCATTTTTCCATCCTCCACGTTTGTGATCAAAGCCTAGCTCCGCATTCGTGGTCAAATCCCAACAACAAGTGGTCCATCAATTCAAGAACAAGCGAAGCTCTCGAATTGACAGTCGTGAGGAGAATAATCAGAGGATTACATCTTTTAAACTTAAGATTGTTCAAAGATTGTAACCCGCATAAATTATTGAAATACAAATACTTTTATTTGTCACTATATTTCTTGTCTTGATTATTATTTTTAGGAACGAAATTTTAGTTGTTACGGGTACATGAAGAGAAGTATTGATGCTCCTGTTAGAATGTGTGAGAAGTTTGCCCAGGCGGGTTTGAGACGAGGTAGAGATAGGCCAAAGAAGCACCGAGGAGTGGTGATTAGGCAGGACATGACACTGCTTCAGCTTAACGAGGACAATGACACTTGATAGGAGGGTGTGGAGGTCAAGAATTAGAGTAGAAGGTGAGCAAATAGTTGAGAGTTTCCCTTTCCTTTTAGGTAATATTAGTAGCTCTCTTGTATTTTCATGTTCTTAGATCTCTATTACGTCATGTTGTTTCATTCGTTGCAATTATCATATTTCACTGTTATTATTTAGTACTACTTTTCTTCTTCTTCTTCTTCTTCTCACCTTTTTCTGAGTCGAGGGCCTATCGGAAATAACCTATCTACCTTCACTAGGTAGGAGTAAAGTTTGCGTACACACTACCCTCCCAAACTCCACCTATGTGATTAAACTGGGTTGTTGTTGTTATTGTTGTAACTTCTGTAATTAAAAATAGTTACTATCCTGGAATCTAAAGGAGCTTCATCGTAAAATTTAAAACTCCAAGACAATCTATTTTTAAAAAAAAAAATGACCAAAAAGTGGCAAGTGAACCCTATTTCTACGACACGTTTTAGTCAATCATTTCTATTCTCTTTTTAGGTGGAATCCAAGAAATTAAATGAGGTATTGCATGGAAGCGTCCCTGTGACTTTGTATTGTTACATGTTTGATGTTAGATAGATAGGTCATTAATTCATATAACAATAATACAATTTGTAAAGAGGGAAATTCATCACGATAGGCTTCTCGTTGTTGATGTCCACAACCATGGCCTGGTTAACACAAGATGTCCTATGAGCTTAGCACAAGATCAAAGTAAAACAAGCGGTCAGCTCCTTGTCTCTTATGTTTGAAGTGAAAATTCTTAGAGCAAATGTGACTTATAAAATACGCACACATGATCCAATATTGCTAATATCTTCATCAATTATTGACATCTAAGATCTGACACATCATAGACCTACAATTATTTGAGATGCCTAGCCTATATTAGGATTTGAAAATTGCACTTCCCACATTGACTGTTCTCTCAAGGGAAAAATACAAGTGCGACGTTTCAAACGGTGGCAGTTAATTGGTGGAAAAGAACTGATTTTTAACATCAAACGCATTTAAACCCCCCAAACAGAAAAGCAATGTGTTAAGCAAGTGACCGCATAGGCCATATGTCTGCAGGCTGTGTTTTCTGCACCTAACCAATTATTAGCTTCAGAACATCAAGAAATTTCAAAGTGAAAAAACACAAATAATGTTCCAAAAAATCTCTTTTATGCTTGAGCTTCCATTATTCCTTCTTGCCAATGCCATGGGACATATTGTAGATCCCCCTGCCCTGAAACGTCATCCAAACACCAATTATAGTTGATTCTTGAAAACAAAGAAAAGACTCAACCATTAAATCTGACAGAAACTCACGATCATGAAGGTTAATGTGGCTGCCAAAGCAAGTGGAATGGCAACTGAGGTAATCTTGTCTACAGGGCCTTTCAGGTGTGTATACTTGTGAACACTCTGGAAATACTTTTGCTTCTCAACAAGCTTTTCCCGGGGATAGAAGGGTGTTTCTGACATCCTGCGTCATTCAGTAACTTTAAATTTAAAATCTCATGACAAATAAAACATCATGGTTTTTTTTTATTTAGGGTGGTTAATAAACACATGTGAGGTTTTTCTGCATGCATCTTTTCTCCTTGTTACAGGCACAACTTGTCACTTCCTGTTCTTATTTTACCATTCAAAGACAATTGTTTGATCTTTCATCACATTTATGGCACACAAGGAGAGAGGGAAGAGAAAGCAAAGTATCCGTCTAATGCAACAAAGATGTCAACCGGACAAGGGACAAATAGTAGCGAAAGAAGGCCAAGACTCAAAGATTACGACAAATCAATCAGAAAGTAGAACATGAACCACATTCCCATTGTTTAGAAAGTACTAGTAAAACACCTTTCATTTTCAATGTGCTAATACGGGTATCAACCAAACAAATTTCAACAGTATAACTGAGAACCAATGATAGTCTGACTCTTCTTCTTTGCTCCGTTACTTTAATGGGTAAAAGATCTTGCATTAAGAAACATCACAAAGGGGACGATTGCCTTGTACAACACGCCGGATTAAAGAGACCATCCAAAAGAGGAGAAGAAAAAAAACATACATATCCATGAGTTCACAAAAAGATAAGACTGACTTGGGTGCAATATGCACATATTCTTGTGCTCTATATACTTCCACAACTACAAGCTCAAAACAATTTCCATCCTTTCATCATATAGTGGTTCATGCATCCACATAGCAAGCAAGAAAATTTATAATAGCAGAAATGCATACTCCTGCATTTTGAAACATGTCTCAAGAATATCCAGTATACCAACATTATTTACCAATCTTGCTGATCACATTCAATCCTACAATTAGTTTAAGATAAATAAATATCTGACCGGAATAGACCGATTGGAAAGAAGTCTGACAGGCAAAGGAACTACAAGCATTATGAACACACTGCCTGCCAAACTATCATCTCTAGTTCGAAGTCTCCCACTACCATCACATTCTTTTAATTCAACAGAAAGTTCAACTCATACCCATTTAAAGAAAAAGAGTTCTTGACTAAATCACACACAAGGCTTTGTCTTCAACTTCCATATTCGAAAGCTAACTCACGGATTCTCAAACAATGGACTTCACAGAGTCAGTCATTAATATGAAAAGTACAGCAGCAAATGTCATCTCCCAACAACATTCATTGATTGCATGTCATACTTGACCAGAAAAAAAAAAATACAAGGTCAGCAGGAGCTGCCATCGACAGCCAAGCATATATCAATCATACTTAACAGGTGAAGTTCGAGGTCTTCCACTACTATGTCCGAAACCTCTAACCCGTGAGCCGATTAGCTCCCACTAACATGTTCTTTCTTCTTGGGCAATGTTAGTGCGAATGGCTGAATATGTGACCATCTCATCTTAAAACCTCAAGCTGTTAGGGAGAGCACATTCTTAATCCCTTAAATGTTATGTCTTTAACACGCCCCTTGACATATGACCTAATTCTTTTCCACAGGTCAAACACGTGGAAACATTTTTTTTTTTGTTTTCTCTGGTTGGCGGTGAGATTTGAACTCAAGATCTTTTGTTCGCTCTGATACCATGTTGAATTGTATGTCATCTTATCTACTAGGTTAAGCGAGCACATTTTTTTTACTTAATTATATTATATCTTCAACACAAATCACTTGACTAACAGAAAAAGACATACTCCATTTATTGTCATAAGTAATCAGTTAGGGGCTCCCTGGTTTGCGTAGATTAGCTAGCCAATGAAACATCCAGTATCATGAGTTCCCCTAAAAAACTTACTATCATAGGATACTTTTTCTCATCCTCATTTTTTTTTGGGGGGGGGATAAACAATTTTTTCTCATCCTATTATCCTTGTTGTTAACAAAGAATTGAAGACCTGCAGCATGCCCGTATCACACACCAATATTTTACAATCAACTAAAAACCCAATCTGAAAGTAGCCAACTCTATAAACATCAAAAGCCAAATAGCCTCCAATCCAATGGAGGCAAACACTAGGTGATTTCTTTTCGTCTTCCCATTTGCTTACAAAGTTACCGGTACCTATGTTGGTGGTGGTAATAGGTGTGTGCAAGTGGGCATGGCCACGAATCATAAGAAAATAAAAATCAAATAGTCCGGACAACACCGTTATTAAAAAAAAATAAAAACATCAAAACCCAAATAGAAAACCACAAGATTTCACCAATCAAATCAATTCAAATAGATCAAATCACATACATCCATAAGAAAAAAACAGCTCAACATAGGGAAACAACAAGATCTAATCAATCACCACCAATTCAAACATCGGATAGTTACAAAGTTGAACCAAATCAACAAAGGGTCAAGGAATATCAGAAGAAAATCTTGGTCAAATAGGTGAAATGAGACAGAACTTACTTGGGAAGCGATGAAAAGCAAGTAGCGGAGAAGAATCGATGAGAAGGGAGAAGGGGCGTGCTTTACTTTACTAGGCCGGGCTTGAAAAATGAGCCAAAGGGAAATCAATTTGTATTTTGTATTACCGTGAAAATGTTAGGGTACCGCTTCGGTTACTTACATTCCTATTTTACTGCCACTCGTTTTGGATTTTGTTTGACTATAACTCATTCTTCTTCATTTTTTAAATTACATAAATAAAAAAAAATGGAAGAAAGAAAGAAATAAAAACATACTACGTGGGCGTTTGGACATAACAATTGTAAAATTCCAAAATAGAGGGGGAAATTTTTTAAGTAAAAATGATATTTAAAATTTAAAAGCAAGAATATAAATAGGATTATAATCACTGAAAGCAAGTATATTAATGCATAATGTATATATAACATACTACGAATGTTCTCTAATTTTATTGTATAAATTGTTCTTGCCTTTTTTACACTAATTTAGAAGGAATAATACATTACCAAAGGGTAAAAATGTCATTCAATTTTATATGGGCTTTTTGGTCTATTAATTATCAAGTAGAAGCTTCCACTTATGATATAGTATAATAATATGATATGATGATTTATCTTCTGTCGTGATAATAAAATAAGATAAACAAATTAATATCTTTTATGTCACGACCCAAAATCCACTAAGGGTCGTGATGGCGTCAGACACTGCTGTCAGGCAAGCCAACCAAAATATTTAACTAAATTCTCATTTAAATAAGTGTGAAAACTCTGATTTTCCTTCAATTTTACTAGTAAAAGATACTCATTTCAAATTAAGTATGAAATTCAAGGAATCAATCAAATACCCCATAATCATCCCAGAACTCGGTGTCACAAGTGCATGAGCATTTACTAGGAATGAATTAAAATACAGTAGCTGTCCAGGGTACAAGGTGGACAGAAATTAAATAAAGTAATCTGAAAGAGACTCTGCTGGCTGCGGGTCACCTCGGGAATGCAGCTCACCTAGTCTCCGTATCATCCATGCTGCTACGCCCACTAGGCCACTAGAGATACATGTGCCTGTGCAACAAAAATGCACAGCAAGTGTAGCATGAGTACGAAAACAACGTGTACTCAGTAAGTATCCCGTCTAATCTCGAAGAAGTAGAGACGAGAGGTCGACTTCGACACTTACTAGTGGTCCAATAATAATACTCCAATAATATAATAAATCAAAGATTTTACAAACATGGTTGCAACTCAGTAGAATAAAGCAAATAAATAACTCTTTCTTTCATAGAAAATTTCCTGATTCTTTTTCATCATTTATACATTTATCTCCGGCCAGGGAGAACGAATATCAACATTTATAAATCTCAAGGCAAACATTATAAGCATGCGCAAATCATGCCGAGGTCGTACGGCCCGAACCAACAATATTTAAATTGTGCACTGCCAGAGGGTCGAATGGCGCGAACCATAGATGCATATATTACCCCGCTCGCGAACCATACATGCGACGCGGTCAAATATAAATAAACAATCACCCTGCTTGTGAATCATACATGCGACGCAGGTACACGTAGAAACATATATTTTAACAGTCAATCAAGACTTCATCAGGGAAACAATTATTCAAGGAGGTGTAAATTTCTCTTTTACAAGTCAAGAAAATAAAGTTTAACTCTTTTATAAAGTCATTTGCCACTTCGATATGATTTAAGCAATTTAAACTAACAATAAGGGTACAAGTATTACAAGTAAAGCATGCTTTTGGGTCCCAGACTACCCGGACATAAGCATAATAGTAGCTAC